AGAGAGAGAGAGAGAGAGAGAGAGAGAGAGAGGGAGAGAGAGAGAGAGACTAATTTGTGTCCCAAAATGTCTTTCTGTGTGGGTCCATCCACTGGAGCCTGGTTTAATCTACCAAGATTTCCACCCTTGAAAGAGATTGTCTCTCCTCCTCCCAGCAGCCATCAGTTGCCAAAGCTCCTTAGGTGGGTTGGGATTTCTTCCCCTACTCCCCATGTCTATGCTGGGATTTTGTCTGGTTGAAGCTTACATGTGACTTGAGCATGCTGTCACCATTGCTGTGAGTTCATATGAGTAACTGACCAGCTGTCTAGAGGAGTTTCCTTGTAATCCAGCACCTCTGGCTCTTACATTCTTTCTGCCCCCTCTTCCACAGTGATCCCTGAGCCTTGGGAGGCAAAGGTTTGATATAGGTGTTATTCTGAGCTAGTGATGACATGGATGAGGTTAGAGGATGACAACAAAGAGATCAGTTCCATGGGAGCAACCATGAACTGCAGAGCTAGTGCATGTGTGAAGGTTGTACATGTATCCACACCGAATGCAGCAGGCTGTCCACACCAAAACAGGAGCCAGGGGCAGCTGACTGTGTCCCTAGTGCTATCTCCTTACACTAGCATACTTATATTTTAAATAAATGAGAAGCAATTTATTTTTACAGAAGTTATTCATCTTGTTTGGAGCTCTAAGATTTTTCTGTGAAATGTCACACTGACAAATCAGACGTGCCCTGAATTTCACCTCATTTTAGTCACTGCCTCCCAAACTCTAGTCCAATGGCCGTGTCTTAGGTTTAATCTGCATTTTGTGGAATCAAAATGTCAGGTTTTTATACTTAGTATACTGATTTCTGCATTATTCTTTTTAAGAATGCATAATCAAAATGACATGTCAACGGCGTTCAGTAGCTCTGATCACCCAAGGATGGTGCACAGTCTCTGAGGAAGGCGCATCTGCGTGTTTTTCTTGACTGAGAACCTGCTGTCTGTAGCTCATAGCCATTGCTGCTCCAACTATCCAAAATCTGGACAGGAAACAGTAATCTGTGCTTCTAGGAAGAATTCCATGGGACAGACAGAAAGCCCTGAATGACATACAGTCTGAATTGCAGAAGCTAGACAGAACTCATTTAGAATCTTAATAAGCTGGCCTAGATTTTCCTCACCCAAATTCTCCCACAAAGATGTGAGAAAGGAAGGTTTACACACTGTTGATTGTTTGGAATAAATGGCTGCTGCTGAAGACCATGGTGTGATTTCCTGGTATCGCTCCTGCCTAAGTGTCCACAGGGAAGGAATCGACATCTCTCAGAGTGATCTGTGCTGCCACAGTTAGCATTACTCTTAACATCAGGGTCAGCAGTCAGTGTAAGTCACCATCAGTGACACAGGAAGTGTGGTATATCAACAAGATGGAACACTATTCAGCCACTAAAGAGTCCCTGTCATCATTTGCAACATCATGGAAGACAGTGGAGGACATAAACTGAATGGGATAAGCCAGCTTCGTGTGTGGAATCTATAAAACATCTGACAGACGTAGGGAGGACTGTGGTTCCCAGGTAGAGAAGACAGGGCCCTGGGGACAAGAGGAGCTGGAAGTCAAGGGCTGTATCATTACAGGAGGACAGGAGGAGCAAGTCCAAGAGGCGTAGTGTAGTGATTACAGTCAACGGTGAGAAGTTACACCCTCGAAATTGTGAAGACAATGGTTGCTGCTTCCTAGACAAAAGTGGTAAAAGTGCGGGTGATGATGCAGTCACTAATTATAGATCTGACCATTCCATCATGGCCGGGCACTCCAAGTCGCCCTGCTGCATTTCAAATATTTATCATACTTATACATCAGCATCTACATCATATCGTTGCCACTTAATTAAGATGAACAAAAGAGCATGGCTCTGATCAATATTCGTTTGGAGCTGTGAACAGGCATAACCACTGCAAATCTCAAGATGATCCCTCATCACCCTTTTACAATCCATGAAACTTCTAGGATATTTTTAAATGAGGAGTTTTTTTAGATAATCCATAGCAACCAAAATATCTCATATGTTCAAATGCTTCAGCCACATTTTCTGATAATCATTAATCAAATTTTAGCTGCTAACAGTTGATCTGATTGTAATATTAACTAAACAGATACAAAAATTCATGATACTTATTGGTAATCAAATAAATTCAATCTTTGTTATTTTATTTACTTAGTGAGTGAGTGTGTGTGTGTGTGTGTGTGTGTGTGTGTGTGTGTGTGGTGTAGACACACAGTGGGAGGCCAGGGCCCTATCGCTCTTCACTTGGTTCCCTTGAGGCTGGTCTTTTGCTGAGTATGGAGCTAGATTAATGACCAGGAGAGCCCGGGGATTGTCCAGTCCACAGTGCTGAGGTTACAGACACACGTGACCAGGCCTGGTTTTATGTGGGTGCTGGGTCCAAGCTCAGGTCCTTATGACTGGACAGCAAGGTGCTCTAACCCACTGAGCCATCACTCAAGCCCTCAAACATTACTTTTAATGATACAATGACTGAATTCCAAACAACAGGGTGAGTGGGGCCTGGACTCTCTTACACGTTGCTATGAAGGACTTACACAATGGTTTTGCAAGAGAATGGAAGGTTCCAGAAACATGGAAACAAAAGTCAGGTGAGGGAAAGCCACAAAAGGCAGAGGAAGCCCAGAACACATTTATCCTATAAACTAGCAAACTGTTCCTCACTGAAGCTACTCAGAAATCAACAGTATTTTGAAGACAAGAGATGAAGAGAGGTAAAGTCAGGACACAGTCTTCCACAACTTCTTCTTCAGTCCTAAACTTCCCCAGCAACCCAAGCCTGAACAGTTGCTGTGTCATAGAACAGGGTTCAGTTATTGGTTAACCCTAGCATCTCCTTTTTTTGTTTCGTTCCTTGAAGGAACTACTAATGTGGTATTTTATTTCCTTTTAAAACCATTGACATAGAGCATAATGCCTTGGTGAAGCAGACGAAGGTTCAGTAAATGGACATTGGACATACACATGATCATAGCGGAACAGAGCCACACGGGATACGGAGGGGAATCCCTGGAGCAGGGGCTAGACTCAAACAGCCTCAGCGCTGACTCTCTGAAGAGTGAGGGTCTACCTTCTGTGAACTAAGTAATCATTAGGCTACGGATTTGAAATCTGACTTCTTCCTGTCTTCTTGTGCTGGCACTAAAGAAAGAGGCTGGGAAATGGTGATTGCTCTCTTGTGCAAACAGAGAACCACACTCTGGATCGGCTGTGGGTCCCAGAATCAGCAACAAGTGCTGCAGTCTGTACCACTCCACAGGGCTTTGAGGAGAAAAGTGGGTGTTGACACAACACAGTAGAAGGGCAGAGCAACAGAGCTCATGGCCTCAGCATCAGCTCGGCTCCTAACTTCCAGAGCAAATTCCTCTACCGGAGAAGGACAGTCGAGCCTGTGGGAAACATCTCCACCTCAGGGTTCTCAGACAAAACACAGAGCCTGCCTGTGTCAAAGGAAGCTCCAGGAACATCTCAAGTGGCCTGCTCTTTCTTCAACCCTTCCTTACTACAAAAATGGACTTGGTTTTTAAAAATCAAGGTTTTTCTTTTTCTTTGCATTTGTGTCAGAGGCTGAGGCAGAAGAGGCCAGACTGGAGCAGTGGAAACATATTGTTGAGCAAACAGTGACTGATGACATCTGCGGGTCTCACGTTACCCTGGGACAAGTCTGTCTGGCAGGTGCTCTGTCCTTGGCTAGGAACTCAGCCAGTTTTGTGCTGAAGTGGGATTTCAAGAGGAGCAGAATTACTCAGAATTTTACTATCTCTCATCCCCAGACTGAGGAAGTTAAAGAGGAGGAAGACATTAAGAACAGTGTCTTAGAACTGCATTCAACTCACTGTGAGAGCCAGCTTATCACAAGGGCATAAAGAGAGCTAAACCCGACCCGCCACTTATCACAGTGGAATCACTCCATCAGGGCATCAGGGAATAGAGCAGTCTGAATGGAAGCCACTGTGCTTCCTTCATGAGATCTTGACTAAGGAAGGTGGGCTGCATTGTCCACATAAGGTCATCTGTTTTCCTGCAGTTCCCTTAAGAATCAGACAAGAAAATGTGAGCAAACACAGGCAGTACAGGTCTGGCTCCCTCTGGATCCGTCCACTGGCCTATGGTAATCTCAGAAGGGATCTGCCCTTGGTTCCTTCCTTACCCCCCACACCCCACCTTCTACAAAGGAATTCTTTCCCTTGGGGGTAGCACATAATAATTCTGACAGAGTACAAAATAGTTCAGTGCTAACTAAACACAGAAACCTTGAAGATAATCTTTGTTTGATTCCCTTTTTCCAAGACACATGTTGGGGTCCTTAAATTTCATCTCCCAATGGTTATATGTGACTTGTGTGTGGTGAAGTGGTTGTCATGGGAACCAGTTACTTTTATATCAGATATATGAAACTCTGATACAAACCATTAATGAGGTTCAAATTATTTTTCTTTCTGCCCCACTGTCGCTGAAATATAACACTTCAGTAAAAAACTATTACTTAAACACAGTACAAAAATTTCAATGCAGTTTATTCCAATATTGAAA